CCCCAAATTCCCAAAAAATTCCCAATTTTCCCCGGATCCTCACCCCAATGCGCCACGCTGGGCTCGGCCAACCCCTCGTGCTCCACCTGGCAGATCTTAATAACCCAAATCCTCAAAAAAATCCCAAAAAAGCCTCAGAAAACCCAAAAAAATTCCTAAAACAATTCAAAAAAATCCCAAAAATCCCCAGAAAACCCAAAAAAATTCCCCAAAAAATTCCAAAAAAAAATCCCAAAAAATCTTACAAATAAATTTAAAAAAAAACAAAAAAAATCCCCAAAAAACCACAAAAAATCCCCAAAAAAATCCAAAAAAATCCCCAAAAACCCCAAAAAAATTCCCAAAAATTCCCAAAATTCCCAAAAAATTCCCAATTTTCCCCGGATCCTCACCCCAATGCGCCACGCTGGGCTCGGCCAACCCCTCGTGCTCCACCTGGCAGATCTTAATAACCCAAATCCCAAAAAAAATCACAAAAAATCACAAAAAATCCCCAAAAAATAAAAAAAAAAAATCCTTAAAAAAATTCTAAAAAAATCCAAAAAATCCCCAGAAAACCCAAAAAAATCCAAAAAAATTCCCAAAAAATTCCCCAAAAAATTTCAAAAAATAAAAAAAAATCTCCCAAATAAATTTTTAAAAAACAAAAAAAATTCCCCAAAAACCACAAAAAATCCCCAAAAAAATCCAAAAAAATCCCCAAAAAACCACAAAAAATCCCCAAAAAATCCCCAAATTCCCAAAAAATTCCCAATTTTCCCCGGATCCTCACCCCAATGCGCCACGCTGGGCTCGGCCAACCCCTCGTGCTCCACCTGGCAGATCTTAATAATCCAAATCCCAAAAAAAATCACAAAAAATCACAAAAAATCCCCAAAAAATCAAAAAAAAAAATCCTTAAAAAAATTCCCCAAAAAATCCCAAAAATCCCCAGAAAACCTAAAAAAAATCCAAAAAAATTCCCAAAAAATTTCAAAAAAAATCCCAAAAAATCTCCCAAATAAATTTAAAAAAAAAAAAAAAAAATTCCCCAAAAAACACAAAAAATCCCAAAAAAATCCCAAAAAATCCCCAAAAAAACCCAAAAAAATTCCCAAAAATTCCCAAAATTCCAAAAAAATTCCCAATTTTCCCCGGATCCTCACCCCAATGCGCCACGCTGGGCTCGGCCTACCCCTCGTGCTCCACCTGGCAGATCTTAATAACCCAAATCCTCAAAAAAATCCCAAAAAATCCTCAGAAAACCCAAAAAAAATTCCTAAAACAATTCAAAAAAAATCCCAAAAATCCCCAGGAAACCCAAAAAAATTCCCCAAAAAATTCCAAAAAAAAATCCCAAAAAATCTTACAAATAAATTTAAAAAAAACCAAAAAAAATCCCCAAAAAACCACAAAAAATCCCAAAAAAATCCCCAAAAATTCCCCAAAAAACCCCAAAAAAATTCCCAAAAATTCCCAAAATTCCCCAAAAATTCCCAATTTTCCCCGGATCCTCACCCCAATGCGCCACGCTGGGCTCGGCCAACCCCTCGTGCTCCACCTGGCAGATCTTAAT